AACTTGAGCTTTAACAAAGAATGTTTTTTGTCCTCTGTAAGAACACATTTTGGATAGGTAGCATAATGTAAAATGAACTTCCAAGAACAAGAACTTCCTCGGGACTTATGAAGTATCATGTCTTATTGGTGGGGAGCCCCTATTTTGCTCAATTTTACTGAATCTTGGCTAGTTAATTCTGGTGGTTGTTGTGTACTTAGTAAAAATCTGAGATTCCCACTAAGCCATGGTATCTTTTTTGTTAAATGTCACTGGAAATTTAAGCTGCAAAATATTATTTATTGGAGTATTATTTATTTCTTGACAAAAAGAAAGAAAAACATTACTAAAGAACTTCAAAGCATTGATTTCAAGTGACTTGAAAGAGCATCTTTGTGTGTGTGTGGGGGGAGTTTTCTTTGTGTATTTGGCTGGATGACACAACATAAGTCATTAGCCATTCTTCTTGATTAGAGTTATTGATTTATATGAGAAATTTAACATCACCTCTGACCTGAAAAATGGTTCTCAATCTAAGCATTTGTCTAGCGTTACTGTAGAATTCTATTGCCAATAACTAACCAGTTTGGAATTTACTTATTTGTTTCCTCAAATTACATTGTTTGTCATTACCTAATTGAATCCAAAAGGTGTGCTTAGGTTGTAATAAATTAATGCATTTTGGATGAATGGTAGTGACATAAATCTTATCAAATTTCTCTAACAGTTTTGACAAACCTCTTCCAATTTGGTAAATATATGAATCATGTTATCCAAATACTGAAAGTAAATTCATAGTCCGTTTCAATGATACCTTCTCTCACCTTCATTATATGATTCTAATTAATATTTTTTAATAATTTTTTTCAATAATTCTCAACTGATCAATGCTTTAATTAGATATTTTCTTATAATTTTGACTTAACTCTTTCACTGTTTTAAGTCCCCAATTTCAGATTTCGTGCACAATTAATCTTCAAACCAAAGTTGTTGCTTTATTATATTAATAAACTATACTTTTCAGGGGGTTGTGGAGAACACGAACAGAAATTAAAAATTTTTTTTTTTTTTTTTAAATTTGTGTCACCATAAGCATGACAAGATAGACATGTTTCTGCTACCAGCCACAGAAAATCCCCATGTGATGATGATGGTTCAGTTGAAAGGTATCTGGCAAGAGCCATGGAATAATGAAATTCTTGATTTCAAATCAATGCATATGTAAGGAAGAGATAAAAAACTATTTGAATTATTGTAATAAATGAGATGCAGAGATCTTGTGTGCTAATGGAACTTCAGGCATTGTACCATAGATAAGAAGCAGTCACATTTCATCCCACAATCAACATCAAGCATTGCTTGCAAGCAAGTACAACATATTTGTAGACATTTTTTTTCTTTTGAAATAGTATATTCTTTGTTGCAAAATTAAAACTAGAATGAAATTACTATCCCATCTTGCCTACATACAGGAACTGGACACACCTTGATCACTTAGCTGAAAAACCTGAATTTTGGTAATACTGACCGATTTGAGAACTAATGCTAATACTATATTTTTGAGACCTAAGAGCTAAATTTTATTTCGGATTAAGATAAAGTTTATTCTATTAATGATCTAAATACAGCTTATTATTTTTGCATTTACAAGAAAATCTTTTTTGCTCTCATCAAGACAATTTGTAATCATTTCAGAATTACAATTTCAAGTTTGAAAACAATTCAAATGTTATTTTGTATAAAAAAGTGAAATAGTAAATGTACACAGCAGTTTTTGATTGGGTTAATGTTTTTGCCAAATTATGATTAAGTAAGTTGGTATCGAATTCACAAGGAAAGCGTTTAAATTTTTAATATTTTATTATGCTGAATATTTGCCAATTTTATTTTTTATCGGAATCAATTTAGCCCAAATGAAGGTTTTGCTCAAATTCATTTAACCTTTACAACACTGGAGGCGAAAATTGTTGCCGTAGAATTCTCTCCTTTTGCAGCTGTAGGCGTATTCTGTCGCCTTGAGCCAGTTGCTTTGAATGTCAACTGTTTCCGGTATTTTAAGCTGGAAATCGCCTACTAATGCTTTGGAACAAAGCTAAACTTCTTTTTTCTGACGCCATTTTGAATTCTAGACACTACACAAAGTGTCAAATCAATTAAACCAACCTTATTTTTTGTAAACAAAATGGCCGCATCAACATCCAACAAAAGCCTTTATTCAGGAGTTTTTCTTTGATTCAGACTCCGATGATGATTTTGAAGGCTTTACACAAGTGGATATTGACTGTGAAGTTGTCAAAGATGATCACGCTGGTGACGTGGAGGAAAGTGATGACCATTAGCGGCAACTATTATCCATGGCTGACTAATTTTATGGAAGCTACTGGTGACCATCGATGCATCTGATAGCCTTTGTGAAGGTGAATTATTTTGCTATATATAAACGACAAAATAATAACTTTATTTGTCAACGATAAATATTCTAGTCAGGCGAAAGAAAGACCAAACAGATCTCCATCTTAGATCCTTGTGCCAAAGGATCCAGTATACGGCGATACTCTTCCTTCTGTAGGTAATCTCGAGCTACCTGTGTTCTAGCCATGTCGAGCTCGCTATTTCAATTTCTAAACGAGCCAATAACTCTTCGTATAGCTGTACGTTTATCACTAGGGTTATCAACCATTTGGATCTAGTCATGGCCACCTCATTGATTTTTTAATTTTTTTTTTACGTTAGATGCTTTTTCGGTTTCTAACCGTTCTTTCAACTGAGCTAATGGAATCTCATCCTCTCTTCCCAACTATCCGATCCTTCACTACTCATCTTCAGTGAACCATCTGCTTCATTACCTTCCTCAAAGGAGCTACTGCCACGATTGTCGATCCCCTTTATTCTCTCCAAACTCTTTGGGGTAATGATAATTTCCTCCCCACTCTTCGCTATCAGTCTCTAATTCTTCGGGTTCAACCATGGTTGCCCTCCTCAATCCTTTTTTTGCTCTCTTCTCTTTACCTTCCTTGCCATTCATCTATCTCAGCTAATTTTATATCATTAGTATGTACTCATTTTACCCTTCCTGCTACTTGATCCTAAATTATGTAAGTAACGGGCCTCGTCTGTTCCACTAGTCTATAAAAGTGAATCCATCTCCGATCCAGTTTACCTTCTCTCAGATGTACTTTGTACTTACACTTACATACTGAATCACCTACTTGGAAGTTAATTTTCCTTCCTTTGATTTACTCTGTCATTACGCCTCTTCTGAGCTCTCCTGATTTTCCTTCTCACCTGAGTAAAAACTTTGTTGTTGCTTCAAGATCAATGGCGATCTTCTCCCATATATTTCCTTCTGGGTCTTAGCAAATTATCTATCGGTAAGACCACATCTCTGCCAAATAGCATATAATAAGGGGTAAATTTCGCAGTTTCGTACATCATTATACAATTTAGGCCAAAAATAATTCCTGCCTTCATAGATTCATAGGTTCTATCAATCATCATGTGTCCCACCTTTTCATGACACTGGTTTTAATATTTTTGGAACTACTATTTTTAGACTTCTTTCCTCCTCTGGTCCTGAGATGTAGTTCAACACCCCATTGTGTATGACATACTTAGAGATAATATCTGCCTCTACCTTAATCCTCAGAGAACTATCTAGTGGGACATCAACTGAGTAAATACACCTAGGGCATTAGATAACCCAAACGGCAACACACGGAAATTGAACAGACCCACGTGACAAGTGAAAACTGTCTTCTGGTCCTTTTCATCCAAGGCTACCTGCCAATAACCTGACCTTAGATCCAACGTAGAAAAACAGGTTGACTTTCCCCAAAGCGCCAGAATATCATCGATCAGGGGTAAAGGTACCGCTATTGGTTTTGTAATGACGTTTACCTGTCTAAAATCCACACAAAATCTATGTACTCCATCCTTCTTTTCCACAATGACTATTGGAAAACTCCATGGGGACCTAGATCTTTCTATTAATCCTGAGTCCAACATCTCATTTACTACCTCTTCCACTAATTTTCTCTTATGGCTTGGGGCCCTATAAGGCCTCAGTCTAATGGGTGGGTGGTCACCAGTATCTATTTTCATTTGCACTGTCCCAGTCTGTACTAACTCTTTGTCAGTATTAGCTACTACATCTCGATTAGCTTTTAGCAGTTTCCTTATCTCATCTTTATATCTTTCAGGCACTATCAAGTCTTCTTCCTTTATTTCGGGGCTACTAGTCTCTACCCTTCTTCTATAGTTCTTGCTTACTCTCACTTGCTTCATAATTTTTACCGGACAGGCGTAACCTAACTCTTCTCCCTGTTTTATTGTAATAGTTTTTTGGCTACATTAGCCAGCTATAGGGACACCGTTTCCATCCCTTCTACCACAGAACTACACAAGGTCACCTCTTCTTCACCATTATCATACCTCTCTGTAGGTGTTATCTGATATATCCCTTCCATTAGTTTCTCCACTCTATCCTTCCTTCATATGAAACAGCCATTCTAGCGGGAAGTTTTACCTTGGTCTGGGCTACTACAGGGCACTTCTTTTCCAATTCATTTCCTAATGGAACTTCTATTCCTCCCAAAACCAATGTAGCCGGGTCAAAGCGGATTTGGGCCTTATTCAGCCTAAGCCAGTCACTCCCTAAAATTAATTCTCCGCACAAATCAGGTGCCACATACACCTTAAGCTCACCTGTGGTCCTCGTCTATTTGAATGGTAGCCATGTTATACCCTCTATTCTCATTTGACTACTATCTGCCTGGCTAATGAATAAATACACTGGCTGAAGTTTTCTATGTAACCCCAGCTGGGGTTACATAGAAAACTTCAGCCAGTGTATTTTGGAATTTATTAAGGAGATCCACTAATGCCTTTAATGTCTTGTGTCCCATCAGCACATTACAGGTAGAGTCTGGCCCCTCTTTAAATAGCTGAAATATCTGGGCTCTGTCCTCAACCTTCCCTTATTTTTATTTCCCTGTTGGCTATCCCTATTTTTCAAACTCGACATGGGTGCTGACAATAGGGGCTCATCGTTCGCTACCCTAGGCCAGCTTCTGGGAACTGGTCTTCTTGTTCCCTTTATTTCTTTCCTTCCTCTCTCAGCACCTTTTCTTCCTGGACAATTCCTTCTTAAGTGTCCAGCCGTCTAACCAGCATTTATGCCATTTACAGTTGACTGCAAAATGTCCAGCCACACCACAGGACCAGCACTTCTTGTTTTTATTGGGGCCACCCTGCCCCTTACTTCTCTACGGGGGTCCCACTGTCGTTTCCCGATCGCTTATTCTTCTCGCGAAGAGGGTGGGTACTAGGATGTCTATTTTCTTAATCCCTAGTCTCCTATCCGCCGCATTTGTACACCAATTGCCTTGTGCAATTCGGACCTAGAGACCTAGGGTCTCCTCCCCAATTGGTAGGACTAACTCTGGCCTCGTGTCCTCCGTAATTGCAGGTCCAGCATACCATCCCGTACAGTCCCAGAGTGGACTTATAAAATCCGTACCGTATATCCCATTCCTTCCGGTTGGGGTCGGCCTCCCAATCTTCTTCCTTCGCGTCCTTACAGGGTTTTATGTTCACTATTCTATTCCTGGAGCTTTTTTCTGTACTCTTCCAACACCTGAATCTTTGGGCCCCTTGGTCTCTTTTGTTTCTTATCCTTTCCCAGATCCTCTCGCTCTTTTTAGCTACCTCCAGGGCCTTCGTCAGCCTACAGGGCCTACTCTTAAGGACTCCCCCCCTCACGTCATTATCATGGATGGCGTCCATAAAAGCGTCCGCTAACAAGGCCTGAATCACCCCATTTTCTCTTATTTCTGGATTCGGGAATGCTAACCCGCCAATCCCGTCGTCTTATCTCCTAGGTCCTCTAGAGTTTCCCCAACTTCCTGTTTAATCCTAAGCAATTTCCGCATCACCTCTATAGTTGTTCGCCCGCTAGCATACCGTCTGATTAGGGTTTCCTTCAGCTCGTCCCATGTTATCTGGGGGTTCTCCCTGTACAAATCCCCGATAAATTTTGAGACTGCTGCTTCATAAGCTAACAGCACCATCTCCCAGTTTGTCAACCCGTACACTTTCATTAAAAAAATTCCAAATAGCCACCATCATTATAGTTTTCAGCTTTTTTGTTTTTGCCTCACTCTGTTGTCATCAGCACTGTGATTTTCTTCTAAGCCATGTTTTAACGAAAGAAGTGGCATCCCATAAATCTAAAGGGAGACCAATAAGATTGATTGTCATCAAGTTTGCTGCATTTTCCACTGTAAGTTGGCTTCTTTTATCTGAGTATATAATATTCATTCTTGAAAAACCTCTTTCTGCTTTGGAAGAACTGATAGCAATCATATTCGTAATAGCTTTTGCTTTTTGTATACTTTGAGGAATTACAGAATTATGAAAGTTTTTCAGAACATTTTCCACGTAGTCACGAAAATCATTAATGGGAATGTTGTGATGAAAAATTTTACTGAAGTCATTCAGCTTTTCTTTTGCGGCTTTCCAGGGAATAACTATTTCTTGAGTATTTGGCTTTAGCAAGTTTAGCAGTTCATGAAATATGTTGTCTGTTTCCTTGTAGTTGTTCTTGGGTGTTAAATGATCACAGTCCATCACACTGTTTTTCATATTTTTTATCATTACGTCAAGCAACTTTTTACGAGGAAGGCAAACAAATCCATAGTTTTCCATTAAATGTATAGCTTTAAATGCATCAGAATAAACTCCATCATCAATTACCTTTTCAAATGTCCCAGTATTTCAAATGCCTTAATGGACCTTTTTAATAAGTTTTTTGGCTCTTTGCAGGGCATTAGCCAATAAAGAAGATTTCTTACATTATATTTATCATCAATGCCAAGTCATGCAAGAAATATTTGTTGCAAAGACAGGCAGCCATTCTTGAATGCTGGATAAGCATGCCATACAGCAAGTGCAGATCTCATCCTATCTTGGTCCCAGAACTCTACCTATCTTCAGAATTGGTTGCCCAAGTTCTTCAGAAATCTTGACAAGTTCTATTTGGTTTTTGTTTGATTGGTGAAAGATTGTGTAGATTTTATCCATGAATATTTTGAAGTGATTTACTTGTTTAATTTCACTGACAGACTCATCCAGTACTGCAAATGATGATTTAAACAATGCCAAATGACAATGTTAGGAAAATTATTTTTTTTAATTTAGTGCCTATTCCAGAATTGCAGCCAAGTAATTGCAGCTCTATTTGAACAGAAAGCAATTAAATTATTTCTCAAATATTCATTATCAAATCCAGCACAGTGCAAACTGTTTAACAAGGATGTATATATTGTTTCTGCTCCTTGTCCTTTCAATTCAACCAAATCCAAAAAAATTGTTGCTGATAGATCACAGTCTTTAAAAATATTACAAGTACAGGTTTACTGGATATAGTTGAAATTTCATCAATGATGACACAAAGCTTTCATTTTTGTTCAATAATTTTAGTAAATATTTCTTTCCTTATCTTCTCTGCAATATGATCTACTATTTTCACAGCAGTTTTTCAGAATAAAGTCCAGCAACCAAGTCTAATCCATTTTTCATTTGAAGCTGAATCTCATATTCATCATCAGAAAATGGACAGCTTCTTTTTGCTAAACTGTAGACTGTATTGAAAACTTTATTAGGAGAGGCTATATACTTGTCATTCAATTTATCCATATTTTTTGTAATCAACATGAACTTGTAGGCACTTAATGCAAATACTATGAGCCTTTCATGAGAAATGCATATCATCATTTTTCTTAGAGTTGCTTGTTGAATTATTTTATCCATTCCCAATGGACTGCAGTGGACCCATCCCATTGATATGTGAATTCCTTCCATGTTTATGGATTCAGAATAAAATCTGGCACATAGCTCACACCCAGTTTTTTTAGTGTGAATAATCAACCCATCATACTTTTGCTTTTTCTCATACTGTCTGGAAGACTGCTTCACTTCTAGTTTTCACGGCACCAAGTGCAGACCTTTTTCATTAGCGTCATACTCTAAAGTTGGCTGTGTTTCGTCCTTATTTGCCTCTTGTCTGAAAATTTCACTTCTGGGGATTTTTCTAAAAAAGGGAAATAAATCTTGTTGTCTGTTCATTTTAGGGTCCTGATACTGAAATAAGAAAAAATTACTAGTTACTATGAGGAAGTTACTATATTAGAATAATAATAATTTATTATCTTTGATCTGAAGTCAAATAGAAAAAAATGTTTGAATATGAAGTTCAAAAGAAAAAAAAAGTTTAATTTAAACATTTTATATTAATTAAAAGTTTTAAGTAAAAATCTATTTGTAAAATATGAAAACAGTTAAGTGTTTGATCGATAAAAATATTGATCATAATGAAAGACATTTATGGGCTTCAAAAACAAAATATAGTGGAAGAAGTTGTGCTAAAAGGCTCACAAATTACATAGTTACTATTCCATGTCAAATCTATCGTAAATTCTTTTTTGATATAAGCGTACAAATTTATTTGTATAAAGTGTACATTGAAATAATATTTTTAAAAAAATTCAATGGCCCACCGTGGGGCCCAAGGCGACTGCACTGATTTTGAATAACCCTTGCCACAGCTAAGTAGTCGTCTTTTTTACGAAATTTGACCCCCACTCCACCAAGAAAAATCTTGGCTACGTCTTAACGTCTTAACCTTTATTTGATAACCTGAATTTACATCCTCAACCGATTATGTAACTACAGTTTTAGGCAATCTAAATTTTTTTATAAAAATTATGCCACAGTAACATAAAATATTTTTGTGCAAGATATAAAAATTTTGTTTTCCTGTCAACTCCAAGTTTGTGTACCAGACACAAATCTTGATAGAAACAGCAATTCACGAAAATAAGCGCAACTTAAGAACTCTTATCATTGGCCAATATATAAAATCTTAAAAGGAAAAACATTTATTTTACAATGCATAAATTCGAAAAGTATAAAACATGGGGGTTGCATAAAAACTTCCTTTTGTGCGCCTCTTTTGGTAGAATAACAATATCTTGGGGTAACAAAAAAGAGATTACCCATAGAAACAAGAAAAAATATGTTACAAATTTGTTAGATGAAAAACGGATTCATGTATAAAAAATTAATCACTTCAAAAATAAAAAATGAGAAAAACTTTGAGAAATGGACTAAGGCAGAAAATTTTCAAATAGCACCCACCTTCGTTCTTAATAGTCTATACAAACAGGACTTCTCAGCTCAAAGGGGTTTTGTGTTATAAAGTTTCTCAAGAGGTTTTGAGTTAGCCACAATGTTGACTTGTATCTTTGGTATGAAATCTTCTTGTGTAGGAATCTGCATTGTATCAGTCAGGTTTGATTTATGATTTCTGGCTGAACCGTCCTTTGAAGTGCTATGTTCTCTCCGATCTTGTCAATGGCATATTCTTTTTCTTCTGCCTTTTATTGAAAAGGGGACCATCATACTGGCACCAGCCAAATTTTCATAAGGCTCAGTTTATCATTGGCCAATATACACTCTCCAAGTATTAAAAAACGAATTAAACAGATTAAACAATTTGGGCGGTTCACCGTTTGCGCCTAAAAGGCCATAGATTTTGCACAAATTTTGATACGCAAACCCCTCTTTTAACTATAACTGAGCAGACCATTTTGTCATTACCCGATATAAGCTCAACTTTTCTTCCTAACTGCCAATAAGGATGAGGTTTAGCTGAATTATTTATAATTACAACATCGTTCGCTTTAATAACATTTTCATATTTGTTTTCACGCAGATTCTTTCATTGTTCTCTTAAACTTAGAAGATATTCATTATACCACAATTTTTAAAAATTTATCCACTAAATAATCCCTTGTCTCTAGAGATTCAGTTACAACTTTCTTTTGAGGGATTCAGACACAACAATGTTTTCATTGTCCATGTTCAACAGCAAGTTTTCTTTAGAAAAAGCAATTCGGGTAATTATTTACAAATTTGAATCAGAGCATAGCAGTGATAAGTTAGTAGACAGGAATTTATTGCCTTTTGTATGTCAGAAAGTATTTCATAATACTCCACTTGAGATCTTCCTTTATAAGCACATTGTTTGACAGCCCTGATCATGTGTTTATTGCGGGGCGTTAACCCCGCAAGCAGAAAAATTACGTGATTACGGATCATTTTGGCTCAGGGCGGCAGCTCAGAGGCAGGCAGATGGAATAGCTGTATTCGAGGTCCAGTCGATCCTCAGATGTTCACCCTTAAGAGGACCGCGTCGGCGTTCACGAAGAGAGACGATCGGGGTAGGCGGTGCTGGGGTAGCCTGTTAGGGGGACGGTTGCATAAGAATGTGGCTTGGTAGTCCTTAGAAGGACTATGGCATAAGAATGTGGCTTGGGCTGCTAAGTTCGGCTGGCTTCACTGGTGGTGGACGTTTGAGTAGCCGGCAGTAACTTCCGGCCGGGTGCGATAAGGCCCCCTTCCTCGAGGATTGATCATGAAAAAAAAATGTCTTTATTTTTTTCCGGAAAATGAACCCGTCTGCCTGATTTTGTTCGTATGACTGGTGTAGTTGTTTCATCTTCTGTTGTTGTTGGTAAGTTTGTGTCGGAAGGAGTTTCCTCTAACCAAGCTGGTTTGAGTCGGTTGATGGAGACCGTATCTTTGTCTTTGCCGCCCATGATCGTGACAAATTTCTTGGAACGCTTCAGAACTTTAAAGGGACCTTGGTAGCTAGGTGTGAGAGGTTTTTTTACGGCGTCGTTCCTGACAAAGACAAAATCGCAGATATCCAGTCTCTGTGGTAAGTATGAGCTTGTGGTTTGTTGTTGTGGGGGAGTATATGTAAGTTTGGCCATTCTGTGGCGCAGATCCTGCACGAAAGAAACTTGGATGTAGTTGAGCACGAGTTCTGAGGAATGTGGAAATATTGTCCTCAAAAAGAGAGAGGCATGCCGAACACGAGCCCCGCTGTCGAACACCCTAAATGGTTTTGAGGGTATTCCGCCAAGAGAGCATGGTCATGGGGAGGATGTCGATCCAGTTGTGTATGTCGAGTTTGGTTGACAAGGACGCCTTTAAGGATCGGTGAAATCTTTCAAAGAGGCCGTTTGAGCAAGGGTGGTAATCAGTCGTTTTAATATGCCTGACGCCCAGAAGTTGAGAGAATTCTCGGAAAAACGTGGACAGAAATTGTGGTCCCCGATCTGTAATGAGAACTTGGGGTACGCCAAAGTTCGTAATCCAGTTGGCGAGGATGACTTTAGAAACTGTCCTTAATCGGCACAGCGACTGGTCATCTCGAGAAACGGTCTATGACTGTTAGAATATATTGGTACTCCTGGCACATTGGTAGAGGTCCGACTAGGTCAACGTGGATGTGACAGAAACGTGCGTCGGGTGTGGCGAATGTTCCAACTGGTGATTTTGTGCGCCTCTGAATTTTGCATTTTTGACATTGTATGCAGGTTGAGACCCAATTCCTGATGTCTGAATTCATGTTAGACCACACGAATCTATCGGCGATAAGCTTGACGGTTGCTCACTTGCTTGGATGGGATAAATTGTGGAGATGGAGAAATACTTTTTTTTATGAGAGATGGAGGAATGTACGGTCTCGGAGTATCCAGCGCGGTGTCGCAGAAAACAGTTTTATCGCTGAACGGACACGTGAATTCTTGCAGTTTCAAAAAGTCTCCTTGATGAGGTCGGGTATCGTCGTATCGCCTTTTTGTTTGTCGGCTATCAGCTCCTGGCTCAAGATATCGTTATCTAGGGTATTAACGTCTGTTCTGGACAACGTGTCTGCGACGGTGTTGTTCTTTCCTTTGACGTGTCTGATGTCCGTCGTAAACTGTGAGACGTAATCGAGGTGACGTATTTTACGGGATGTATATTTGTCTGCGCTGACATTCATCGCGTTGGTCAGCGGTTTGTGATCCGTGAAGATAGTGAAATGTCTGCCTTCCAGGCGATGTCGGAAATGACGGATGGACAGGTAGATAACCAGGAGTTCTCGTGAGAAGGTGCTGTATCTTCTCTGGGCTGCGGAGAGTTTAGCTGAGAAAAAAGCTATCGGCCTTCTCTCCATGTTCATTTGCTGCTCCACTACCACTCCTATTCCAACGTTGGAAGCGTCTATTTTGAGGAAGATCCTGGTTTCCGTGTCGTTTTCGATGAATGAGAGTTTTGTGAAGTTTATCAGCGCTGTCTTTGCCGTTTCGAAAGCCCGCAAGGATTCTCCTTCTAGCGTAATTTTCTTATTCTTTCGCTCTATGAAGTTTGTCAACGGGGTCAGAATTTTCTAATTACGTCAATTTTCTCGGGTAACAGTATGATTCATTTGCGTCGATATGATGACCTAAGAAATTCACCTCAGATGCCCCGAAAGTGCATTTGTCGATGTTCAGCCGGAGTCCATAATGTGGTATCCTTTGGAAAACTTCGTTTAGGTGTTGCTTGTGAACGTTCACATCCGTGATGGCTACTAGGATGTTGTCGATGTAGGCATATGCGTACGTTAGGCCGCGCAGTACCTTGTCCATGAAGCGTTGAAAAGTTTGTGCTGCGTTCCTCAGGCCAAAGGACATCTTGATGTATTCGAAAAGACCAAAGGGAGTAGTTACAGCGGTCTTTGGAATGTCCTCCGGAGCTATGGGGATCTGATGGTAAGCCTTCGTTAGATCTATTTTCGAAAAGATACGAGTGCCTGAGGCGAAATCATGTAAATGCGGGACTGGATAGCGATCGGGTATGGTTGTGGCGTTCAATCTTCTGTAATCGACGCATACCCTAAAGTCCGTACTTCCAGGTTTAGGCACAAGATGTAGGGGTGAGGCGTATGGGCTATCGGAGGGTCGTATGAATCCGTCCTTCAGCATATTGTTTTTTGGCGTATTCAAGTTTATGAGGAGGGAGTCGTCGTGGGTGGGAAAACGTTGGCTTTATATGATGCTGCGTTTAGTGTTTTGTCGGATCGGTATCCGCGAGTGGTTGAATTATGTCTGGGTATCTATTCAAGATCTCGACGTATTCTCGTCCGTGGCAAGTTGTTACACTGATTCCAGTGGTGTTGTGTCGAGAGAGGGTTCCTTTAACAGAAATGTTCGTTGTGTTGTCTGATAAGGTCCTCGTGTTCATATGCACGGCTAGGTCATAGTGGGCCAGGAAATCTGCTCCGAGTATTGGCGTTTTTACGTCTGCCTGGGTGAAAGTCCAAGTAAAATCACGCCGCATGCCGATGTTAAGAGTCAGTGTCTTGGTTCCGTATGTTTCGATCGTCGAGCAGTTTGCTTCCTGGAGCTTATACAGGACCGCTTTTTGGTCTTGTTCTCTGGGGGGTATCACGCTGATTACAGCGCCTGTGTCCACTAAAAAAATTATGTGGTTTCGTCGGTCCCATACGTAAAAAAGCGGCTTTGTGTGTTTTTACCGGCGGGTTCTGCCGCTCCTACCCGCCAGTTGTTTAGTTTCCCGAATTTGTCTTGGAGCCGTATTTGCAGGGTGCCGAGCAATGTCTTTCTCTGGCGCCGAATCTTTGGTGGTACCAGGATAATTCCAGGTCGATTAGTCGATCCCTGTTGGTACTCCGTATTCTCCGTCGCCAATTGTTGGCCATCGGTTTCGGGTCTCTTGGTCTGCGGGAGAGGAGTATACGGATGTCGTGTAGCTGATGTTGCATGTCAGTTTCTGCTTTTTCTAATTCTTCGTTTTTGGCTAGTGTGTCGTCTGGGTTCCGCTCAGAACACACTCCTTGGTCCAGTTTTGCTGCGATGCGATAGGCGGAGTCTGCTAAATGGTCCAGTGGTGTATTTTCTGCAAATAGCGCCAATATCTGTGTTATTGTGGTAGGTAACTTGTCCATCCAGATTTCGCGTAGGATAGAATCGGCTATCGAATGCTTTCCCAGTCTGGTTCTCATGAAGCGTAGGAGCTGTGAGGGTGTTCTGTCACCCCTGGTAACGTGGGTGAAAAGTTCCCGGAGTAGATCATCGTCCGAACGGCCGGTGCGTTTTAGGATTGCGTCCTTTAGCCGAGTATATGGCTCCTGCTCGTGTACATTTTCCAGAATGTCGGCCAACTCGTTGACTACTGAAGGTGTCAAGACTTGCACCACGTTGGTAAATTTCGTTTGTTGCGATGTTATCCTCCGTACCGAGAAGATCGCTTCCAACTGAAGAAACCAGTTTTTGGTGGTTTTTATGTAGGTAGGTTTGCGGGTGGCATCGCTACGTTTATGGGAGAGTCCTGTTCTCACTCGTTTGTTGCCATCTTGATCGATCGTAAATATCGGGGTCACCACTTGTTATCGGGGCGGCAAGTAGAAAAATTATATAGGGTAATACGATCGAATCAAGGACAACAAAGGCGAAAATTTCAAAATCTAAGCCAAATTTTATTTATCAATATGGCGAAAGTATGTACAGGAACTGTTTGGAGTAGTTCAAACGTGTAGTCGGGGAGTGCCAATCGAAGGATCGTTTTGGTTCAGGGCGGCAGCTCAGATGGAAGAGCTGTATTCGAGGTCCAGTCGATCCTCGGATGTTCACTCTTAAGAGGACCGCGTCGGCGTTCACGAAGGGAGGTGCTGAGTAAGCCTGTTCGTCCTTAGGAGGACGGTCGCATAAGAATGTGGCTTGGGCTGCTGCTGCTGCCGCTGAGTTCGGCTACCCCAGAACCGTCTTATTGGTGGAAGAAATCGGCTGTGTTTTGTCTCGGCCGCGGTTAGGCCCCATTGCCTGGTTAACAACATCTTTTGGTTGTCGACTAAAAATTACCTTCCACGTTTTGAATGCACACATGGGTTTCATTTGGACACCATGATTATATAAATTAGTTTCTGTTCATTATTTTTAGTTAGGAGGACTTGTATATGTTTATGTTTCATTTTGTTTTGCTTTTTGTGTTACGATTTCTGTAAACGCTGAGTCACCGGAAATTAACGTCGTTCGTTCTGTTTTCCGTGGTGACGCTTTCAGACGTTTGAGTAGCCGGCAGTAACTTCCGGCCGGCTGCGATAGAGATTTCGGGACATCCCCAATATTTTAACTTGCTCGGACAAAAGGATGCTCGTCGTGGTTGAGGGAAGGAAACCATGTTGTTGGGCATGTGGTGCAGTGGGGCACATGGTAAATGCGTTCTCCGGGAAAAAAGTCGAACATCCGACAAAAGACATACCAGCAGAAGCAGAAGTTATACCAATAAAAGAAAAGGCCTCCAGGGTGCCTGGATTGAGGTGAAGGGGGGGGAGTGACAAACCCACGCTCTCCTCGACAACCAGCGCGGCAGGAGCAGCAGCAACAACAACAACAACAACCCCAGCAACAACAACAGAAACCCCAGCAACAACAGAAATCTCCAAAACCTGTAATCAAACAGCAAAACCACAATTAAGAAAAAGATAAAAAATGTAGCAGAAGCAACCGGAAGAGGAGATGGAGGTGGAGGAAATGCCCCCACTCTCGCTCTTCTTCTTTGAAAAGAAGTAGAGAAGAGGATGATGATGCTGAAAAACTCGTAGAGAAGAGTGTTGGAAGAAGCAGGGCAGAAAAATGTCTGCCAAAATACAGATTATTGTCTGTACCGGTCACGCCAGGACAAGCGAGACAAAAACTGGCAAAAGCCAGGAGCCTCCCCACTTTACCCATTCGATATCCGTCTCCCTCTCCCTCCACATCCCCTACTAGTTCAATATCCATTCCCCCTCACTCTTTCGCTACTTCCCCTCCTCACCGTGTCAGGGAAAAGAAAAAAAAATGAATTTTCCCTGACGCAGAGAACATTCGCAGAGTTGATATAGAGCAAATTAAAAAAGGCTTGTCAAGCCATAAAAAATCGTTACTCGGCTTGCTGATGAAAAAGTCGTCTGTAGATGGGAAATCCATTGAGGACCCCAAGAACTTTCCAGATGCTCCTGGGGTAGTCACCTGTGTAAGGGACACAGATGGCTACCTAAAAGTTTGTGCGCACGTGGCGGAAGCGCAGGAAGCATTCTCAAAAATAAGATCACTATTTGAGGAAATTAAGGCAATATTGTTCTGGGAGGGTACCCGTCTTACTCCATCCCTCCTTATATAGGTGTGTAAAATTAACCTATCCCACAGACGTCGGCGGGATCGTCCTAGAAGGAAAAATGACGTCAGAGCTAAGTGTGGGGGCCTAAGACATTCCGTTGGGGTCCTAACTGATGCAGATTTCCGGCCTGTATGTGAGTAGGTCTTCTTTTCTCTTTTTCTTTTTTTCAGACCTAGAAGATGTCAATTAAGATAGCCACTCTGAATGTGAAGGGCTTGAGTGATCGGAGTAAGGCGGTCCGCCTGCTCCCTGATTTCTAGTCTTTCGGCGTCGATGTCGTCGCGATCGAAGAGACCCACTTTGCAATAGGTTTGTATTTTAAATTTAAGATGACTCCCTGTTAGAGTCAAGGAGCTTGTAGATGATTATTATTCAATGCAACGATGGGGTAGAGGTAGGTCGGAATTAGCTACAGTTGTAGAGTGAATTCGGCTGCGTGTTCAGAGTAACGTAAGTCCTCAACACGTTTAATGAACAAAAACGAGAAATAACACAAAACAATATTATATAACAACAAACACATTTTCATTTATATAACATAAGAAAATACAACGATTTATGCTGGAATGAATTCAGATTTATAAATGAAATCTGTGTGGTGTTTGTTTAAATCTTTGTATAAACTTTTTTTGAGGTGTTTGGAATGTAATTTGTGAGTTTAAGTGAAAGATTGTATGTTGAGTTGTGATGAAAAGTTCACAAAGTGAAAGTATTAATCTGTTTACGTATAATTTAAACAGTTTTGTGTAATGTAAATTTTCAGTGTAGATTGGAATAAATTTAGTTTGTGGGAAAAGTTATCTTCCTTTGACGGTTTTTTGTCAATTATGTTGAATTGTTTTGATTAAATTCAGAAGAGAAATAATGTTCTGTGATTGAGAACTTGAAGTGATAAACAATTCTCTGCTGTGTAATAAACGAAGTTGAATATGAAGATGAGTGAGTGATGTCTGAAGGTTTGGATTATGTTAAAAGGTAACTTCAAAACTTCAGATGATAAAGTGACGTGGATTTGTTTAGCAACTGGTTTCTGGTCACGATGTTCACGAGCGAGATGAGTGTGCCTACTGAATTTATTTACTTGGGTGGACACATTGTTGCAGATTGACGAATGTATTTTGTCTATCAGAAGGTTAGGTTATCAGAAGGTTTAGAAATGTAGATGTTCACAATACATTCATCCACAACAAATATAAAAATAAGAACATTGAAGGTAAAATCATTCAGGAGGAATCAAAAATGAAGACAACGTAATTAAAGGTTTAACGAATAACATTCATTTTATATCAATTGAACATACACAATCAAGATAGATATTGCTGATCAAGTGCGACCAGTTGTAATAAAATATGTAGAAGGATTATGCTGAGTTTCAATGTGTGTAGGCTTGTGGTTATGATTTGTGTATGAAATTAAACAAGATGTTTTATCGTATTACAAAATGTCTTTTGTGGGAATTCAGTCACTAGTGTGCGTTTGTTAAAGTTACTGTTCAAAGTTTGTGTACCCTCGGCTGTTGTCTTGATGTTGGATTGAGATTTACAAATACTGTTTAGTAGTGGGTCAATCCACTTTCTTTAGTATGTTGTAAGTAATGTTCCTGAGAGAGCGAAGTGCTGTTTGTCGAGTCGGAAGAATTAGCGCGCGACAAATGTAGTTAGGTCAAAGTTTTGGCTAGCGTAGATTTGTTTAGCATCTCTCCAGGGCTGAAGTTCTGGCTGTTTGAATCGAATCGAAACGCTTCTATTTATTGAGTTTGTGGTCTCAAAATCGACTCCAAGGCGTTGAGCGGGAAAAGGTATTTTTGCTCAAACTTGCTACAGTTTTAAGGTCTCAGCCAATGAAAAACCTAGTTTGCTGAAACTAAGATGCTGATTGGTTAAGAGATGATTATGCATGAAAAATGCATTATCCCGGTGTGGTGACAGGTAGGTATGGAATATTCCATCAACATGATAGTATGGAATCCTCCATATTTGCCTGTCACCCCTGAGGGAACATGCACTCTTCCCCCAAACCAACTTTAGCCAATCATTACTTCACTTTTCTAAACTTGACTTTTCATTGGTTAAAAGGATCCAAAAATGTAGCATTTTGCGACAAATCTGTTTTCCCGCTCACCTGAAGCCGGATTGAAACCCAAAAAATCAATAAATAGGATCACTTCACTTGATTCAGGCAGTCAGTAACCAAGTCCCTGTGTTACTCCATCCCTCCTTATATAGAGCAGTTAAATTAATTTACCTCACGGACGTCGGCGGTATTGTTTTGGATGGTCGGATGACGATGGAGTTAGGAAAAGAGAGCCTGGGACAATCCATCGAGGTCCTTGAAGCTGCAGCTTTTCGACCTGTATGTGAGTAGGTTTTTTGCTCTTACTCTTTTTTCAGGTCTAGAAGATGTCTATCAAGATAGCTACTTTGAATGTGAAGGGCTTGAGGGATCGGGGTAAGGCAGCCCGCCTGCTCCGGGATCTCTTGTCCTTCGGCGTGGATGTCGCAGCGATCGAAGAGACCCACTTTGCAGTGTCGATGCGTGTGTGCTGGAGAGCGACTTTGTCGTTTATTCAGCATATGGGGACCGGCATGCCAGAGGAGTTTCTTTTCTGGTGAAGCGGACTCTTGATGCGAAGGTGGACTTTGTGCATACCGATGCCGAGGGTCGGTTGATCGTGGCCGATATTGCCGTGAAAAGTGGTTCGTTCCGAGTCGTTGCGGTTTATGCGCCCAACGACCGGGAGGAGCGGGTCTCGTTTTTTCGACAGTTGGGGCCGTTCCTGGTGGATTCAACGCGTTTTAGTTTTAGTTTTAATGGTGGCTGGAATGCTATCCTGGACCCCAAGTTAGACAGGGGGCGGGGAGCTAGCGAGAGAAGGGGCGATTGTAGCCTGGTTGAACTGATCGAAGAGTTTGGTCTCATCGATAGATACCGGGTCGATCACAACTGGGAAAAATGTGGACGTGGGCTCTTAGTTGGCCTTGTGACAAGGTGGTTAGCTACTTTGACAGAATGTTAGTTAGAGGAGCCGACGTAGACTTGTTAGATTGTCCCACGTTCCACTGGGTAGGTTATTCGGATCACAAACTCGTTTGTGCCCGGGTGCCGTTAAATCGTAGGCCTAGAATGACTGGTTATTGAAAGTTCAATCTGTCTTTACTGGACAGGCGGGACTTCCAGGAGCAGCTAACTCGCTTAGTGCAGCGGGAGCTAGTGGGGTTGGTTATCGGGAATAAGTGGTGGGATAGACTTAAGTGTAAATCTTTTAATACAGATTTCAGCAAACGGCTCGCCCTAGATAGAGCTGATAGGTGAAGACGCTTAAGGCTAGTCTTTCCAGGGCGGTGGCTGGAGGGGATCCCCTAGAGATAGCCTAAGCTAGGAAGGCCGTGGGGTGCTCGAATATCGAGCGCTACATGGGCCAGGTAATTAGACATAGGTTAAGCAAGATGTCTTCCGAAGCCGCTCGGGCGCATAGGCGCAGAGTTGCGCAAGGAAGAGATTCGTCGAAGTTCCAATCGTTACATTCGTGAAGTCGAGACTCCGTAGGAGCATATTCTTCGGGCCACTGACGACATGTGCGTG